TCACAAGGATCTTTTATGCAGCAGACTACTGTGAAATCTAACAACTCTGCAAAGCTTTATTCCGTTCTCCAGGAAACCTGGCCCAATCCCAGTTGGTACAAGTGAAGCTGTATCTTTATGTGATGCAATGCACAAACTTTAGGATGTTCTTTCCAGCTAAAGCCTGTGACACTCTAATTGGTCAGTTCAAGCCGTATATGTGCAGCTCTCCGTGGGTAATAAGTGGTGACCAAGCAAGACTTTTCATCTGGACTCTCAGCACAACTGTGCCAGTCAAGAGGAAGCAAAGGAAATGCACCCAGGGTAGATAAGAGACTAAGATCAACAAAACACAAAGTTGGTCTTTGTGTGTGTAGCTGATGGCACAGCAAGAAGCACGAATGCTTTAAAACCAGTCCACTTTCTGAGCTGAGATCAAACATCTTCCACTCTAAGAACAGAGATGATGATGAATGATGCAGGAAGCTGAGTGAAAGATGAAACCTGCAAGGGAGAGTGCACCAGGCCTCTAATCCATCTTAATGGACCCCAGAATTGTTCAAGTTCTGGTTGCTTTTGTTTAATCAGAGATGTTATGAATTCAAAATCTAAACATTTAAAGCATGCTAATAATGTTGACATAAACATTTTTGACATTTACTTGAAATGTACAATCATAACGGCTAGATTAAAATCTCCTTGCTTGTCCGCTGCTACCACACAGAGCTCTCCCTCTGGGGTTCTTTAAAAAGTTTTGTCTGAAGCCAGATTAACATTTTAAAAGGCTTTAGCGACTCATCACTGTAAACCCAAAAGTTCTAAATAATCAAATATATTGAGTAGATTAATCTCATAATTAAAAAAATGTTTTTAGAACTCAAATGTGTTGAGCTTGTTCAACCTCTTCCTTGTTTTAAGTAACTCAAACATTTTAATTAAACTGAACTATTTATTTTTAAGTAAGCATAACTTAAATTAATCAATAAAAGACAACTTAACTTTAATGAGTAATGATTGATTTATTTTATGTTATTATATTACTCCATTCATCTTTACGTCAACCCTAAAGTGTGTCTGATAAACAGACTTGTACGATTTTTTTTTATATTTGTGGATTTACAAGAAAAACAACCACAAACTAGCAGTTTTGTTGGATTTCAGGAACAATAAACAACTGGTTGGGGAGGTGCATTGTTGGTAGTTACGTTTTCAGTTATTTTGCTCTATTTTGGGGTGTTCATGCATGTTTATTGTGGATGATTGTTGTTCTCGGTTATTATTTCATTCAGTGTTGCAGATGTGGTGTTACTTTTGGTATCATGTTGGCACCATAAGTGAGGAGGTTGGTCAAAGTTATGCTGTATGGCTGTGCCGTCCCATACTGTGGTTGTTCACACCAGATGCTCTTGACTTGACTTTGAGTGTTCCACTTTCATTAGCTGTTAGCATTTATGGGTGTGTGAGTCATGATCTGGTGTTAGTTACTGCCTTCACCAGCCTGCCTCATTGTCATTTCTAAGTAAATTCAACTTATTTGGGAATAGGGTTTATTAGGTCCATTAAGAGTTCATATAAGTTATAATTTTTAAGTTAGTAAAAACATGTAATAAAGATCAAATAAAATAAAATATGCAAGTTTAGTTAAATTAAACTTTGTAAGTTGCTTAAGTACTAAGTTATAGGTTGGAGGTAGTTAAATGCTTTGATTTTATTCGGGTCATATTTTTTTAAGTTACGGTAAACTTATAGTTTTTAGATAAGTTAACTTAAAAACTATTAGGTAATCAGTTTCCTCATAAATTTTGAATTCAGTGAACTTATTACAGTGGGTTACAGTGTATGGCAACAACTTTGTATGATTGAAAAAACTTAAAACATCTCGTCTCTCGTCTCGTCTTCCTCCGCTTATCCGGGTCCGGGTCGCGGGGGCAGCATCCCAACTAGGGAGCTCCAGGCCGTCCTCTCCCCGGCCTTGTCCACCAGCTCCTCCGGCAGGACCCCAAGGCGTTCCCGGACCAGATTGGAGATGTAACTTCTCCAACGTGTCCTGGGTCGACCCGGGGGCCTTCTGCCGGCAGGACATGCCCGAAACACCTCCCCAGGGAGGCGTCCAGGAGGCATCCTGACCAGATGCCCAAACCACCTCAACTGGCTCCTTTCGATCCGGAGGAGCAGCGGTTCTACTCCGAGTCCCTCCCGAATGTCCGAGCTCCTCACCCTATCTCTAAGGCTGAGCCCGGCCACCCTACGGAGGAAACTCATTTCGGCCGCTTGTATCCGCGATCTCGTTCTTTCGGTCATTACCCAAAGCTCATGACCATAGGTGAGGATTGGGACGTAGATCGACCGGTAAATCGAGAGCCTGGCTTTCTGGCTCAGCTCCCTCTTCCCCACGACAGATCGGCTCAGCGTCCGCATCACTGCAGACGCCGAACCAATCCGCCTGTCGATCTCCCGATCCCTCCTACCCTCACTCGTGAACAAGACCCCGAGATACTTAAACTCCTCCACTTGAGGTAGGACCTCTCCCCCGACCCGGAGGTGGCAAGCCACCCTTTTCCGGTCGAGAACCATGGTCTCAGATTTGGAGGTGCTGATCCTCATCCCAGCCGCTTCACATTCGGCCGTGAACCTACCCAGCAAGAGCTGAAGGTCAGAGCTGGATGAAGCTAGGAGGACCACATCATCCGCAAAAAGCAGAGACGAGATTCTCCTGCCACCAAACTCGACACACTCCACACCACGGCTGCGTCTAGAAATTCTGTCCATAAATGTGATGAACAGAACCGGTGACAAAGGGCAGCCCTGGCGGAGTCCAACCCTCACTGGGAACAGGTCCGACTTACTACCGGCTATGCGGACCAAACTCACGCTCCTCTGGTAAAGGGACTGAATGGCCCTTAACAGAAAGCCACCCACCCCATACTCCTGGAGCGTCCCCCACAGGGTGCCCCTGGGGACACGGTCATAAGCCTTCTCCAAATCCACAAAGCACATGTGGATTGGTTGGGCAAACTCCCATGCCCCCTCCATCACCCTTGCAAGGGTATAGAGCTGGTCCACAGTTCCACGGCCAGGACGAAAACCACATTGCTCCTCCTCTATCTGAGATTCAACTATCGATCGGACCCTCCTCTCCAGTACCTTGGAGTAGACCTTTCCAGGGAGGCTGAGGAGTGTGATCCCCCTATAGTTGGAACACACCCTCAGGTCACCCTTCTTAAAGATGGGGACCACCACCCCAGTCTGCCACTCCCTAGGAACTGCCCCCGATGACCACGCAATGTTGTAGAGACGTGTCAACCATGACAGCCCTACAACATCCATAGCCTTGAGATACCCAGGACGAACCTCATCCGCCCCCGGGGCTCCGCCGCTGTGTAGTTGTTTGACTACCTCAGCAACTTCTGCCCCCGAGATCGGACAGTCCATCCCCAGGCCTCCCAGCTCTGGTTCCTCCTCGGAATGCGCATTGGTGGGATTGAGGAGCTCCTCAAAGTATTCCTTCCACCGTCCGACTATAGCCTCAGTACACGTCAGCAGCTCCCCATCCCCACTGTAAACAGTGTGAGCGAGTTGCTGCCTTCCTCTCCCGAGGCGCCGGACAGTTTGCCAGAACCTCTTTGGAGCCGATCGATAGTCTTTCTCCATGGCCTCACCAAACTCCTCCCACGCCCGAGATTTTGCCTCGGCAACTGCCACTGCTGCACCCCGCTTGGCTATCCGGTACCTGTCTGCTGCCTCCGGAGACCCACAGACCAGCCACGCCCTGTAGGCCTCCTTCTTCAGCCTGACGGCTCCCCGAACCTCTGGTGTCCACCAGCGGGTACGGGGGTTGCCACCACGACTGGCACCGGCCACCTTACGACCACAGCTAGCAACAGCCGCCTCGACAATCGCAGAGTGGAACAAGGCCCACTCGGACTCAATGTCCCCCACTGCTCTCGGGACGTGGTCAAAGCTCTGCCGGAGGTGGGAGTTGAAGACCGTCTTGACAGGTTCTTCTGCCAGGCGTTCCCAGCAGACCCTCACTATGCGTTTGGGTCTGCCAGGTCTACGCGGCATGTTCCCTTGCCATCTGATCCAACTCACCACCAGGTGGTGATCAGTTGACAGCTCCGCCCCTCTCTTCACTCGGGTGTCCAAAACATACGGTCGCAGGTCAGATGATATGACTACAAAATCTATCATCGACCTGTGACCTAGGCTGCCCTGGTACCAAGTGTACCGGTGGGCATCCTTATGTTCGAACATGGTGTTCGTTATGGCCAAACTGCGGCTTGCACAGAAGTCCAATAACAAAACACCGCTCGAGTTCTGATCAGGTGGGCCGTTCCTCCCAATCACACCCCTCCAGGTCAAGCTGTCATTGCCCACGTGAGCATTGAAGTCCCCCAGCAGGACAATGGAGTCCCCTGATGGAGCACTATCTAGCACTCGTCCCAGGGACTCCAAAAAGGGTGGGTACTCTGAACTGATATTTGGCCCATACGCACAAACAACAGTCAGGACCCGTTCCCCGACCCGAAGGCGCAAGGAAGCTACCCTCTTGTCCCCCGGGGTAAACCCCAACACACAGGCAGAGAGTCTCGGGGCTAACAAAAAGCCAACCCCAGCCCTCCGCCTCTCACCCGGAGCAACTCCAGCAAAGTAGAGTGTCCAACCCCTCTCCAGGTCTCGGGTTCCAGAGCCAATGCAATGTGTCGAGGTGAGTCCGACTATATCTAGCCGGTACCGCTCAACCTCTGCCACAAGCTCCGGCTCCTTCCCCGCCAGCGAGGTGACGTTCCATGTCCCAAAAACTAGTTTCCTTGTCCGGGGATTGGACCGCCAAGGCTCCCGCCTTGGTCTGCCACCCGATTCACATTGCACCGGACCCTTCATGTTCCTCCTGCGGGTGGTGGGTCCACAGTTGGACGAGCCCATGTATCCGGTTCGGGCTGGGTTAACTTAAAACATGCCAAAAGAAACCATGTAAACTAAGGAGTAAAGAAGTAGACATTAAAAGGATGTTTTCTCTGTTAAGGTCATAGTTAAATCATTTATTGAATAAATGTAAAAGTATGTATAGTACAAAAGAGAAGCTTAACTTTAATTATTCTGCCGTGCATACACCTGGCCAGCCAGGGTTTATTACAACACATATATGAACAGAAGCTCAAAAATGCAGCAAACAATAAAAACATGTTATGTACAATTTTTACAACTGACAATAAGGTTGATTAGATCTTCCTACCAAAAACACAAATACAAGTAATTGCATGCAGGAATTTTAACATTTCTAAACGTATGAAAACAAAACAAAGACGAGTCACAAATTCAATATTATGTACAATGATAAAATGTACAAAAATATACAATAGGCATTTACCTCTGTTTACTAAAAGGAAATTATGTAGAGGTGGATTATTACATGCAGCTCTTCTGCTGTTACACCGGTGATGAGATCTTTAAATTGTTATCTGATGCAAGATTTGCTTTAATGGGAAATTTTAAATCCTCTTTTTAGTTTTATAAACAAATGAATATCTGAACAGTAAAGAGAACTGTTCAAAATTATTTTTACACTGTACAACTAACAGCCTGGTTGAACTAAAGAAGACTATAATGCTGTAGCGTGTTATAATTAATGATCTTTGGTTGCAGCTGTTCTAAACTGACCTATATTTGTGTCGGTTATGAGAATGATGTAAGGACATCTTGAATTACTCTGTAAAAAGATGTAATATCAGTCTTTTAACCACTAAGAGCTGAAATTATAGGTTGGATTGGTGTTAACTTAATATATAAATATATAAATATTTTATTTAAATGTAAGTGTTTAAAGATGTGATGTAATGAAATAATGTCAGCCAAAGATGCACGGCAGGCCCAAGGGTATGGTAAATTAAAAAAGTTCAGAGCAACAGACACGAAAGGCCATAATTCACCAGATATGCTTTGCCAAGCTGGAGAGTAAGTTACTGACCTAATTAAATTTTAAGTTTCAGTTGGAAAAGCCGATTCATTTATTGTAGCATAATTGTAGGTTCTACATCAAAATGGGTGGGCTTGTTGGATGTGAGGCGGCCATGTTTGAAGGTACTTTGTCTTCGGAAGGCACTTTTTCAGATGACTGCAAACACTTTGAAGGCTTTTCCTCCCGTGGGGTTTGGTATGCTGAAAGAAGGGCAAATGTAAATTAATATATTTGTAAACTGTCTTGACTTTAATCAACACTCATACTTTACCTCTCTGATGAAACACCATTCTGGTGACTTCCGCTGTATTGCTGTCTTTTGTCCACTGGCATCACATCAAGGTATCCTCCTGACTCATTCTGGATCACTCCTGCATGGATAGCTGCTTTACAGATACTGGATTTCTGAAGGGAAAGAGTCAGAGCAGTGAAATATAATCTTCTGCAACATAATAACAGGAAAATCCAAACTGTTCATATGAAAGCCACAGTTCCAACCTAGATACTCTTCAAGTGGCTTTTCTCAAAGCACTGATCTATAACAGGTAATCTGGTTGAGCAGCTAGATAAAAAAATGTCCTCACGCAAGACTTTTACTTTGTAACTATTCAAAAATATTCCTGCAGTCAATATGAGACTTTTTATGCTAACACTCACGTCTGAATAGTAGTTTGTCCCAAAGACTCGAGCTTGACCGTCATGCAAACAGCTTCTGGGGCAATACAGTCTGGGAAGGAAATCTCAGGTTACAACTAATAAGTAAATATTTATTTTTACTTTTAATTGAACACATACAAACTTTTAAAGTCTCTTAATTTTTTATCATTTGTCTGCAATGATTTTTTTAAATGCATTAATTATATATTTTGATGAATTAGATTTCTAGGCAGTGGGATCCTACTGGAGGAGCTAGTTATTGGGGAGAAGGCTTTCTGAGTGTCATTGCCCATACACACACTCAGATAAGCAGAAGGTGGTGAAATATTTCAGTTAAATACTATTTTATCTACAATTACGAAGACATTGAGCCCCTCACTCTAGCTTGTTTCCACCTCCAACCTTTCCCTTATCTATGATCAGTTCACCTGTGTCTACCTAATTTTCTAAATTAAATTGTAATTTATAGTATATTCTTTGTAATTCTATTGTTTAAATGATCTTATTCTTATTTTTGTGTACGTTTTATCATGTTTTGTGAGGTGACCTTGGATTTTGAAAGGGGCCTATAAATTAAATGCATTATCATCATTATTATTATTATAATCCTGGTTTTTCTTCTACTTTTGATTCCAACCAGCAAGCAAAAATGAAGACTCCCATCTGTTTGGGATTATAGTGGAAAACTAGCTTTGCACAGTCAAAGGGAAGCAATTTGTCAGTCTCAGCTGTCTTTCCTCACAGAACACCTCTACAGCAGATCATTTAGAAATTGTGACTGAACCATCTGGAGAAATGCACTGTCAGAAATTCAGACACACGTCTTTTAACAAAATGAAACGAAAACTAATTGGAATGAAATGCAAGAATTCTAAACCAGGAGTATCAGTGTTGCTGACAGAGACTGTATGGACTGCCAGTCCAGATGTTACCTGGGACAATGTCGAACTGGCTTCTTGAAAGGACAGAAAAGTGACACTGTGGTATCACATCGTACTGCCTTGACTTAGAAACAAAGCAGGCAAATCACATCAAATTAGAACCATGCTGTTATAATTACACAGGCAAAGCAAAGCATGTTTCTTACCAGGAACGGACTTGACCTTAAATGAGTTTGCACTTCTGTTTTTCCTTTGAAGAGAAATGAAATCTATAGGAATGACCGACCATCTCCAACAGTAAATATTACCCACTACATCACAGATCCATATGTTTAATAACAACATTTGATTCTTACCCAAAAGACTGAACTCCATTCTTGTACGATTTGGTAAAATATTGTTTCCTACCCAGTCGGGTTACATCCAACCATCCTCCATCATTGTCAATGACCCCAGCGTGTAGTGCAGCACCACACACACTTGATTGCTGATGTAAAAGTCAAAACAGCAGTCATTTTTATAAAATATAAATGTAAATGAGGCTAATACACAAAGCAGCTTTTGCAAATCATCTGTTACCATATCATAGTAGTCAGTCCCAACTACTCGTCCAGGCCTCTCCAGACAACCAGGGGGACATTCATATCTGCAGATGAACACCACAGTGAGGTGACCAGTAGAGTGGTGTATTATTGTAATAAGCGCATGCTGTTGTTGATGCTGTTATCCTTTCAGGCTACCTGTTACAGGTCGTTCCTTTGCACCGGTCCCTCAGCTTGGTTTCACATTCAACCTGTTGGGCTTGTGTTACAACATACTGAGTCATTGTTAAGTCAAACATATTTTACGCAATTCTGAACGTTTCAGGAGGGATACTGAGTCCTTACACATCTGATCTGTGCTGGTAACCTGGTTTCTTTCACCGTTGTCGTTAGATGATGGGTTTGGTGCCTGGGCCCTTGATTGGGGTTCCCTGTCCCTCACTGGCTCTGGGTCCGGTTCGATGTAGTTGGTCTCCTCTATCTCAGGAGCGGGACGCCAGTCCATGCCCCCGTCTAAAATGATACTAGAGTTTAAAACGTTCTCAGTTTAAATTTACAAACATGAACTAATTTTTACCAATACCTTTGTAACACAGATTGTTCCTGCAGCCACCAGCGTAACTTGCTGGACAGGCGGAACATGGTGAACCATATTTGTACGGAGCATGACCCCACCAGTTTCCCCTGAGAAAACAAAAACACCTTTAGTTGTGACTGAAACAGCCAAGATCCAGAATTGATTTTCGCGTTACCAGAAACTCACGGTGGAGAGTAGTTACAGACCAGATACACGGCTTTGGCCCAGATCATCCCCCAGACATTCATGTTATAACATATATTGATGGCACAACCAATACGATTACTAGTTGCCCACACCAGCTGAAAACAAACATTGGTTTACTTAAAGCATGTACAGTAACTGATATTTTAAGTTTTATGGTACAGATATGTTTTTTATTGTTCATTAGTTTAGTTGTTAGTATCAGATACAATAGTAATTTTAAAGAAATAAAGTCAATATAACAAATGCCGTAAATACATAAGCCTTTAAATTGTGTTTAGGACTACGTCTGACCTGTGTATTTCTATCGTTATTAAATATCTGGTTGTACCTCCAGAAACAATCACTTTAACAAGGCCGTGTTGTTTAGCAGTTCTATATTAATATATCTTTATCAGGATTATTAGTTGGAGTAACATGAAAGCATTTACCTGAGTGTAGTGAGTACAAACAGGTCCTGAACACCTGAATGGACAGTGTGGGTTACACTCCTGAGAGTATGGATAACTGTAGTACCTCACCTCATCGTACCAGGCCTGGACATGGTAGGTGGGTGGTCTGTCCCTAAAGAAAGAGGTCCATGGTTTTACATGTCCTTTTGCAAATAATACCATACTCATCTCTTTGATTAATTAGTGAAAATTCTTAATACACTGCCCAGCCCCCAAAAATCCACCACCTGGATTTAAAGTGACAGTGTGCATGTTCCCTGGCAATAGGGGGCAGTACATACCTAAATCATTGCAAGCAAGCGTTATTTTTATGTTAGATTAAGACCTTAACAACGGGTGGCCATAAGGGTCAAAATTCCTGCGAGCGAAATTTTTGAATGAGTACTTCATTAGATCGTTCAACCTCTAGCAAAATGATTAGTGCATCAGACTCCCGTTCATCACTGGCAGTGAGCGAAGAGGTAACTGTTTATGAATGGCAATAGTGTTGTATCTGCTTGTTACAAATCAGTAAATGTGTTTTGTCCTCACAGGCTCACATAGAAGGAAACATTGCATCTAATATGGCGTCGCCCAGAGACTTACTGTAGACCCGCTCCCGTGTATTTTAAACCTGATTTTAATGGCTATATGTTAGAAAGTCACCAATATTTTTCAACAAATGGGCATCATTTAATTCATTTTCAACAAAGTTTCGATTGATATTTTGAGAAATAAATGGTAAAATCTAACTATCGTCTATTTTAATAACTGAATAGGTTGGAGCCTCTTATTGGATAATTATTACTGCATGGGCGATTATCTTTCAGCTGAAACCAAGTTATTTAACCCCAACTGGTGCAATGAGCTGTGTCTCATTTCTTCAACAATCATGTGGAAAGACATCTGGTGGTTGTAGAAAAGATCATTGGCATGCATCAAGCAGAGAAAACAGCTAAGGAAAATGCAGAAACAACTAAAACTGGTCTGATGAGTCCAGATGGACCCTGTTCCAGAGTGATGGTGCATCAGGGTAAGAAGAGAGGCAGAGGAAGTGATGCACCCATCATGCCTAGTGCCTATCTGTGGTGGCAGTGCTATTATTTGGGGTTGTTGCAGTTGGTCAGGTCTAGGTCCAGCAACAAGATGTGCTTCAAGAATGAGGTCAGCTGACTACCTGAATATGCTGAATGACCAGGTTAGGGTTAGGGATGCGCTGGAGGAGGCTTTGTGCAGTGGTCAGCCTTTTTTTTTTTGGCGCCAGGCAGTGTTTGTTCACTGAAAGTGACTTTTTGAAGACAAATCTTGCATACATGCTTGTGAACAACCTTATTTATTTATTTATTTATTTATTTATTTATTTTTACCGTGTCCTGTCTGGCTGTGAAGCAAGCAGAATTGATGTCTGAATGCTGGTAACAAGCTTTACAGATTTACTCTCAGGTGGAGCATCAAAGCGTCTGCTTAAAATGTCACGCCTGATACTTAAAACTTTATTGTTATTGTTTTTGAATGCTTTGTAATTCCGACCAGACACGGAGACAGAGGTGAAAGAGAAAGGAAAAGAAAAGGTGGGGAGAGAGGAGGAGGAGGGGGGGGGGTGTCCACAAAAATAAACAATAATGAACAAGAGTGTCAAGTTGATGAAGAAATATATAATCAGCATTGCTTAACTGAAGAATCACGATAATACATCACAGTGCATTAAGTGCCCACCATAGTCTTAAGACCTGTGTTTAACGTGCCCAAGCCCATACTTTTGAGAGCACCATGTGAGCACCTGTGTGTGTACACGCGCTTGTTTATGTAAGGTTTCTCTATAGGAGCGCCCAACAGAGAGTGTGAGGGACCACAGATCCGCCCCACCAAAGATGTGCAGGAGACGGGGGAAGCTCCAAGTCCCAGAGATCCAGGCGCTGCCCCAGAACACAGGAACCCCAAGGAGACTGCAACCAGAAAGGCCCCCCGCCCCCCTTTTGAACAACCTTAATAACCAGCTGCAGATGAATACCAACAAGTTTAATTTAGAAAGCTATTGTTTAAATTATACTGTAAATGAGCAAATTCAGACACCAACAACAGAACAATTTTCTAATGGCTGCATCTGAGCAAAGCATGCTCCAAGCAGTAAGAATACCAAGAGGAAATATGTTCCTGCCAAGATTGGGAATTGCAAATTATTAACAGTAACAACAGTTATTAACTAGATCATTGTTCTGCTGACTTGTGTGTTAACATGATTTATTATATCTTGAATAATGGTGCAATGGATAAAAAATGTAACGGTACAGATCGGATCACAGTTTTGAGTCACGGATTGGATTATTTTTCGGATGAGTAGAAAAAATAGATAAAGAAAAGACAAATAGCTTTGCTCTCTCTTGATGTTGCAGAACACAACATGTTCTTTCCACGTGTCCTGCTTTCACTCACTTCCTCACATTTCTGAAGCATTGTTTAGTTTTCTTTCCACCTCTTTTACAGATTTGGATCTGTTTGTATCATCACTGTATTTTACAGGAACACCAAAATGCTTCAATACATCCAACTTAAACAAGGCAGGTGGATTTTCAAACTCCATGACCCCCGCTGGACTTTACTCGTTTAGACTAAACAGGTGGCGCCTAAGCCCTCCACGCAGACCATGCGCTTGTCGAACCGTAGAGAGACATCCGTGTGGATCACGGATCAATGATGATCCGTCGTACCCCTAATCTTAATGAAAACTTAATAGCACTAATGCACCTTTAAATTGAGAATAAGTCCTCTAATCTTGGTACTAGTGCTTGTTAAACAGTGTAAATATATCACTTTATCGATAACGACCTCAACCAAAACATAAATAAGCAAGTAAAAATTACGTACCTGCCCCAGTGGGCTCCTAGGTTCTGGCCTATTTGTGTCAACATGTGGCTCGGTCCATGTTCCCATCGGCAGGTATGTGCCCAGTGTTCTGCACTCCTCTCTAATTCATAATCCCAAACCTGAGGAAAACACACACACACACACACACATACAGAGAGAGGGAGAGAGAGAGAGAGAGAGAGAGAGAGAGAATCACAAACAGTCAGGAAAATGGGTTAAAATGTTTTTATTGTTACATCTGGCAACATCAGCTCAGTATTTGCGTGTAAACCTACCATAGTTGTTTGTGACTTTAGAAAGAAAGAATGAAGAAAAGAAATCTTTTATATTGCGCCTCTCAAGATAAAAATCAGGAGGCGCCTCACACAAAAAACATTTTTGAGTATGACATTTCTTTTACCAATTGTTTAAAATTTTGTTTGAAATGAGAAAAAAACAACTAAAAATTGTGAATTGAAAAAACTTAAGGAAAGGGAGAGAGAAAATTAACAGGAAAGTTAGAACAAGAGCAGAATAAGGAAAGGGTGGTGACGATGGTCACACAAAAGCCAGCTTGAACAGATGAGTTTTCAGCTGATTTTTAAAGGAGACCACTGAGTCCACTGATCTCAGGGTCAGGGAGAGAGGTCCAGAGTCTGGCGGCCACAGCAGCAAATGATCTGTCAGCCACTCAGCTCTGTTAGCTACTCAGAACTTCAGGAAACGAAACCTAACTAACACGAATTCTTCTGAAAGCAGCTCAGCAGAGATCAAACCCACTCGAGACAAGGTGACTCAAAAAGATGAACCTGCTCTGCTTCAAAGCCTAGTAGCTGCTGTGTACGCGTGTCTTGGGGAAATTCGACACAGTATAGTGAGAGTTGGGCCTCTCCTTTCAAACACACGTACTTATGCGTGCGCGCGCGCACACACACACACACACACACACATACAGACACTTACATGAGAGACCACTAGATCAACTGGCAGCTTTGTGCTACTATTCAGTTGGGTTGTTCCAGAGCTTGTTTCCAGTAAGTTCTTATCTCAAGAAGTTATCTAAAGAGGGTTTAAAAAAGAAGGAACACAACAGAAAGGCTCTGTTTAGAAGGTTAGATGCCATCTTTGTTATAAGAACCTAATAAAAATACCTGAAAACACTTCACACACACACACACATCTTGATTTGAACAAAGTGGAAAGCAAAGCTGTGTGCATAGGGCATTTTAAATGTTGCAGCAAAATTACTGTACGGGAGAGCGAAGAATGGTAACAGTGTGCTCTGTGGTCAGCTGTATTGTGGCTATCTTACATCACACTAATTGGATAATGCTGAAGCACGGACCACCGTAATGTTTTCCGTGTGTTCTGCGTACGGTTAACATACTGCTGCCTGCTCAGAGTGTGATTTACAACTTATTAAGGTTTTTGTAGCTTTAACATTAACAAACCGAAAGAACACTGAATAGTTTGTACGCTGCAAAAGAATTTCCGCTTCTACCATTTGCATCATTTAGTTGTGTTTTTGCCTTTCCTTTGCAAAGATATGATAGCATTGTGTTTTCATTGTGCAAAACATCATGATAAACACTTATAGCACTAATTCTTTAACAACAGCCATGGCACGCATTCTTTGCCGGTCTTCTCATGGTTGCAGAAAAAGGGAATTAAAAACAGAGGCTCAAATTTACCAAACTTTTAACTGTTGAATGCACTTATTAGTGTCACAGTCAAGTGATTTGTGTCGTTGCTGCATCTGCATAGAAATTGTTGCAAATGTTGTAATATCACATTTTTGTTATCTTCCATTTACAAAATACTTTAGAATTATGAAACTTTACTGTCCCACTCTTCAGCAGCACTTTATTTTTTATTCATTAAAGTTCACTTGTTAAAGCTGCTGGGGACAATAACCATAAACTTGTGAGTGGCTTGAAGATTGCTGGGGACAGTTATTATTATTATTATTATGAATATGTTTATTTAACTATTAATGTTTAATTACAATATGCACTGTAGTTTAATGACAAACTGGCAAACTACTGAATACACAGAGACCTCTTAACCTCTGCGCCACCGTCGCACTTACAGGCAGATTCAGAAAAATACCCATAAAAGGTTAGACTTACGAGGGAGCTGAGGGTAGACTGGCTCCCCTAAAAGGGTGATGGGCTCCCCTTAAAAGTCCTTCACTTACACACCAAGTGGGAGCCCCAAAACGATCTTGTTTCTACCTATATTACATTATTTATATGAACTCTCAGCGTACCAGGGATTCTTTTGAGCGGAGAGGACGGAGAAGTCCGATTATTCATGCGCTCCACAGGCAGCTGCATCCTGCACACGGCTACGGTAACATTCACAAAGTGCAGGTGCCACCAAAAAGATATAATCAGCGCACGATCGTTCACGTCCACTCACCCTCTGGTACTTTTTGTTTTTTGTTCATGCCTGACGTGCTCCACTGCTGCGCGGTGTGCATGCTGCTATTTTAGCCGTCGGAAGATCCCTTTGATCTGCTTAGTTTAAAATAAATAATCAGGTGAAAAATTAGGAAACTAGGCAGTGTTTATTCTGGAGGATCGAGAGATGCTAGCCTAGAATTTAGATCGTCATTTGCTGAAACAAAATTGACAGTCTAGCAACGCCCCATTGGAGCTTCACAGCTCCGGCCAGTACTGTGGCTGACCAATCGCAACGCGTTTATATATAAATCGATGTATTACTTTATATATTTTTTTGTTTTATGTTCTATGATGTAGTGGCTGACTGCCCCATTGACTGACAGTCCAATCCCAGCGCTCTACTGGTGGGTGGGATGTTACTGATGCAAAGATGGGGACGGCTCATTTGAAACGGCTTCTACTAACTGAGACGTTCTCTGCTGTTTCCTGGATGCTACAAACAACAAGAGCCTTCCCCGTGAGCCAAGATGTGAGAGTTCATGAATGCTAATTTTCTATGTAGGATGTAGATATAAAACTCAAACTGATCGATTGCATTAAAAAAAACAATCTAAAAATAATGAGTTTCTCAGTGAACTTGCTCTTTAACTAGAAATAAGAAATCAATGTCAGGCTTGGAAAGAGCAAAGTCCATCTATCACAGATTTTGAAGAGGAGTGATTTTCCTTCTTCAGCAGTTAATAGAAGTCCATGTTTAGATTGTGTCACATAACAACCCTTTTGTTCCTGTAAACCTTTAAACTCTGATCTGTGCTCGTGTGAACATTAGGCTGCTGTGAAGCTCCTCAATTTTGCTATTTTATGCTTTAATACTCGTCAATATTAAGTTCTCTTTTCTTTCCCGTTTGTTCTTTCTGGTTTAAACTCTCAGCTCTCCAAAACTCAGAAACATAAACTTAACCTTCAGTAGAGCCAGCTCCTCACCTGCACAGCTCAGACATTAAGCTCAGAATTATTTCCCCCTTCTTTCTATCTATTTGGGGTTAGGAGTGGGATTAATCTTTCTAAAACGTAAAACTTTGGAAAAGGTCAGCCTTACTGACCAATCAGTTTGCATTCCATCACATATTAAGTTTCCAAAATACAGATCTGCCTCCAGCCCATACCAGACCACCTGAGCTAAATGTCAGACATGCATTATGAGTCCCACAGGCAGATTTAGTTTTGCATTTCACTGTAGTCCTCTAAAAATCCTAAAGAAACATTTGAAGTTGTTGGTATTTCTTAAAATTGTGCTTTAAGATTGGGTTTAATCTGAGCAGCTTTTGCACAAAAGTCATTAACCCTTTGATGCATAATGGTCACTACAGTGGACAGGTACTCAAAATTGTTATTTATTTGTTTTTGCTATTAAGCACAGCTGTTGAAGACTTTATTGCATTTGAGCCCCTCCATTTGGACTTCAGTAAGCCAAGCCAACATATTTCATGCTCAGAATGTACGCTGTCCACTGAAGTGGACATGTAAAAAATTATTTGTAAATTATAAAATTTTACAAAAAAAATTTGTTGAAATTTGTTTCATTCGCACCCAAAGACGAATGAAAAAAAAATGTTAAAAAATCATGGTTGAAGATTTCATAATTCATGCATCAAAGGGTTAATCCAGTCTGCATAAATGTACAGCCTGCAAGTTCTCCAACCTGACAAGAAAAGACTTGTGTCTCATCATGCTAACGACATTGTTATCGTGAGTGATTGCGTCCTCTGTTGAAGAAACACTGGATTATTTCCACGTGCAACGCTGTGTCTCACGCTTCAAACGATGACACTTAACATTTTTGCAGCACGCTTGCTGATCGTTCACGTCAAATTAGATGGGGGATCAGAGAAACAACACAGGCTCAAAATGTAGAGAAGGGAAAGAAAAGAGTTGGTGGTGAGGGGGAAAGTGAAGACAAGCCCGGAGGAGAGTGAGCGAGAGAGACTGAAGATCAAGAAAGCAAAAAAGCAAGGCAGAGCAAAAGACGTGGACTGACAGACTTTGGGGAGGCTGGGCAGGAAGTGGAGGCCGGTGGGCAGGGTGGTTGAGGTAGAGGGCAGGACAACACTGTGGGGGTGAAAGCTGGATCCGGTCCAGGGTCAGTGAGGGCAGTGAGGGCAGTGAGTACCAGCAAGCCAGACAGTGGCTTAGGTTGGCCGATCTTGTTTTCTTTCTTCTTTTCCCCAGTGGGCTCTCTTTAGCTAACAGAACTGTTCTGGCAAGGGTAAGAAAGAGCTTAGGACATGAGTGTGTGTGTGTGTGTGTGTGTGTGTGTGTGTGTGTGTGTGTGTGTGTGTGTGTGCACATAATAAGTTACATGCATATAGCACAGGTAATTGAGATCCACCAATGTAAGACCCAGTAATTGACTCTTTCTAGCAGGTAAATGTTGATTTAAATGCATTATTTTATATAAAAGATCAGATTTCAGCAGTTAAAAAGTGAAAGTGCTCTTGAGCTTTAAGGTGATCTGCTGACTACAAACAAACGCTTCTGGAAAACTAGTTACTTGTATCGTGTTTGTCACCCCTGCTCTTACCATGTGCTCCATGTTGGAGGCAGGAGGGTAAACCTGACCACGCAGCTTGTTGTGCATTTCGAGGATGAGGTGCTTGTCTCCCTCGCTGATTGCCCTCCTCCCTCTCGATCTGGCCTTCCACCACTTCTCATCCTGGTGCCTATACTTGTCTAGAATGGACTCGAGCCTGGAGGAGTTTGTGAGGGCCGTGGCCAACGCACTTTGGACGAGGCAGAGGACCAAACCGACAGCTGGGAGCCAGTCAGGGAATGGACGAGACCTCCTCATGATGGAGATGCCAGATGCTGCAGTGAAAGTAACGTTTGTCTGTCAAACAGAGAGAATGGATGTTGTGTGACTTTGAAAACAAAAACTTTACTTGATCCTTTTCAAGCTTTTTTAACTTCAGTATAAACTAGACAGGCTAAATGTATCATAGATGCAGATTTGGTTGAAGACTCTTTATTAAAATGAACTTGAACTTACTCTATTATTTTTTCTTTATTATCATGTTTTGGTTAATAATGTTTAAATTATGACGGATGTGACTTCAAACAGTGAGTGTGTAGCAGCCTTCAGCACCGCGGGTGCATCTGCAGGTCATTGCATCCACTCACAGTATGACCAGTGCAAACAGCATTCACACATCGTGTAGCTCCACATGCTCACAGTGCTTCATCTGCTAAAATTCACATTTAAAACAGACAAATACCTGACAGATTTTGCACTCTATTATTTGCATTCATTGCACATTAGTTTTACCTTTAAATTCTCCCACGGTGGTCCAGATATCTTCTAGAGTTTAAATCCCTGATGTAGACACATCTGGAAATGACAGCAGCAGGACAGCTGGTCAAACTGGAGTGCAGCTAAATCCATCCATCAGAAAAAATCAGCTCAAGAAGTTGGCTCTCTTTCAAGCAGCAGATCCACGCTGCAGGACAGAGAACTTTCTGAATGTCTTTGGGTGATTGTTGAATTCCTCAGGTTGCTCTGACTCCCACAGGCTGCTCCAGAGGGCTGCTCTTTTTGGCTCTTTTATACAAATTTGCTCTTAGCAACACGCCTCTACACCCCCCTCCTTCACACACACACACACACACACACACACACACACACACACACACACACACACACACACACACACACACACACACACACACACACACACAGCTGGGAGAAATCGTTTTCAATTTGTTTTAGAAGGAACCCGATCCTACTAGAAGTGGCATGAAGGTAAATGTGTGGATGTTATAATGACAACCCACTCTCACTTTAAATATTGCACATTTTGCTATGTTTAATTATTTTATTCGACAGGAAGAAAACACAGCTCATTAGCAGGTGAAAATAAAATACACTCGTCTTGGCTAAAAGACACTTCAAATAAAGATAGTTCATCACTGGGACCTTTTCGCCACAGGAAACTGTCATGTCTAAACGAAAAATCAAAAAGAGCAGAAATTCATTAGATGTCAATCTCTAGAGCATCTCTACGCTTTTTGTTCCCTGAGAATATTTTCATCACGGTGTGTGAGAACTGCAGCCGGCAGGGTGGCTAGTATTTCCCCTGCAACACAGCCTCAGAGCACTGACTCTTCTGCCTAAACACACACAAGCACATTTGTGAAAGTCTGTCCGTGTGTTGTGTGTGTGTGTGTGTGTGTGTGTGTGTGTGTGTGTGTGTGTGTGTGTGTGTGTGTGTGTGTGTGTGTGTGTGTGTGTGTGTGTGTGTGTGTGTGTGTGTGTGTGTGTTCAGAATTTCTCTCCACACAGAAAAACAAACACAACAGGAAAAATAATACTCTTAAGAGTTGGAATGCAGAATGAAATTTCAAGTTAAAGATATTTTAAATAACATTTCTAAGAATGGATCATTTTTAGTGAGTACAATCTCAACCCTAATCCCCTGATCCTGGATCTGTATGGCCTTGATGAAAGTAAAATTGACAACAGAGCCTTGACTTGACCTCAGAAGCATTAGTTTAAAGAGGTATGAATGAATATTTATGAGTCTCTCGGTGACAATGTTGTAAGGGAAAAGACTCTTTCACTTGCACCTACTGCCCTCTCTTGGATCCACAGTAGACCTTCAACTGTTCTCACATCTGTGATGTTCGAGCAGAGGGAGAAAGTACTGGTGCCAAACACACAACAGCCATTACCTGACAAAAGCACTTTTACAGAAACACACACTTGTGTTTGAAACATCTGTCTGTCTGTCTGAACTAACATATGGGAGACCCAGAATCACAAAACCCCTGATATAGTAAATGCTGTCATGTTTGGAGTCATTTTCCTTACCCAAAATGTGCCGAATCAACACTCCATGACCAAGGTAAGAAGAAATAACAAAGCTTTATTATAACTTAAAAGTGTACCATCAGAAGGCGGTGAAGGAGATCATTTATACTTCACAGGCTGAGACTATAAAAACAGAGTTGTACAGAGGCTGGTAACAGAAGACTTTAAACTCAAACTTTAACGTGAGACCTTACTGAGTTTGTCGTGACGTGGGACGAGAGGGAGGGGTTGTCAGGTCCATGAGTGAGTTTGAGGTTTCAGGAGAGGCAGGAGATGAGTTCCAGTGGTTCCAGGAAACAGGAAGTTGAGTGGTGGAGAGCGGGTTGGTCAGGGGTTTTGAAGTTGAGGCGAGCTGAGATCCAGGTCATTGATGCTTAGAGGTGGCAGGAAAGATGCAAGTACTTGGAAGCATGCACAAAGAATAGCCATTAAAGGGAGACTGCAGTTGTCTTTTTAACAACAGCTGAAATGTCTTCCCAGCCTTCATTAGTGTCCACAGGAGCGATTCATCACTAAATTTAAAATAAATCAGCTGTGTTCATGATCTGAAACATGCAGGAAATGTGTCTGACTGCAGCACCAGGTATGTAAGCTCCATTTTCCAACTCCAACAGACCAGACCAGGACTCTGAAGTTGCAGATGCTGTATTCTGGCTACAGAGGGTGGTGGGGATCGCACTGACATTTCATTAACCTTAAGCAGGGGTATTCAATTCATCCAGCATGCTTTAGTTTTAACTCTATCTCAACGTAACTGCTTTCAGTCAGCAGGTAATTACGTTACAGGCTTCTGCAGAGCCTGATGAACTGCTGCACAGGTGATTCAACCACTGAATCAAGTGTGTTGGAGCAGAGAAACCACTAAAACGTGCTGGATACCAGCCCTCCAGGCACACACTGGCTCAAGAAAATCATTTAAAAATATTAAAAAGTTGCAAAGTACCCCGCCACAAGACTAAAACAAGCACAGATTTGAGAGAGTGGCAAGAGCTACCCAAGGTGAGTAATCATCTGGCGTCAAGTGGTTTTCTCAGCCCTCCTTTCAAACTCTGACCAGAGATGGGATGATTAGCAGCAGCTGGCCCACTCCCCAGACAGACTCAGAGAGGGTTATGAGGAGGACTCACTCACCCTCAGACCATGACAAATGCACCGGGGAACTGGGTATATTCCCAAATAATCTGATTACCTATACATAGTGTAACTCATCTTCTGATACATAAATCAAATTTCCCCCAAAATCTTCCTGGCATCCATGTGTCACTTTAACGTATAAAATTCTGCCTGAACCAAGTTTACCACAATAAACATTGCTAATATTTCATATATTTTTTAATTCTGTTTTAACAGATACACAAACATTCAATCATTGGTTCTTGTTGAATGTATCTAAAACTACATAGATTACCAGTAAAACTGTGAGCTCACACACTTTATTGGCAATTTACCACCAAATTAAACATGAATGAAAATAAATAAACAAATCACACATCCTTAGGATGTGTGTGGCATTCACCTCTTCCAAACAATAAAAGCTAAACAGAAGTTATGGTTGCTCCAAGAGTTAATGCTAACTGTTGGAGCTAAATATTTTAGGGGTGATGGACAAACAATTTTTGATCTGAAGGTTGATGCACCAAAGAAATGGACTTAGTCCACAGAGAAATACAGTTAAACAAAAATAAACATTAATAATAAGTAACAAACAAAACACAATTGTTTTTTCTTTCTGTTTATTTTAGAAAATGTTACACGGGGTCTTCAAACTGACCTGAAAAAAGACAGCTCTATTCACTTATCCCCTCACATACATTACTAATATTTGCGCATAATAATGATAATAATAATAATAATCATCATCATCATCTTACTTTGGGAACACACAGATGCGCGTTCATCCCGAACAGATGCTCACGTTTGGATTAAAACCGCCTAAAGGTGGAGCAAAATAAAATTGAGAAGGTTTTGTGACAAACGAGTTAATCCCTACAGCTGTCGGGAGACGGGGACAGGCAGGGATGGAGAAAAGTCTGTAGTCGGATTTGGCTGATTTTATTACGGGATTGGTGAGCGCACCGCTGTTTTTCTAATGGAGTTTTGTAATTGTTACAACGTGACGATGGATACAAAGTGACGTTCCCGCCCTTCCGGACACTTTCATGGCACAGACAGAGCTGCTCATCCTCGGGAACAGAAATGGTACCCAAACTTCTGCTGCGCATCGGTGGGTTGGCTGAGTGAACGTTACATCCACAGACAGCTGTGGAGCGCCATTTGTAAAGTAATACATTAAGGAATACATTTGTCATTAGCTTCTCACGGTGATAATATTACATTACTTAGTCAATTTTATTACACAAGTTTAAAATGAAATTCCAACAATTCAAATAATCTTAATTCGTCTAAATTTTTTTTAAAGAAACCAATAGAAACAATAAGATATGACCTAAAGACGAATATGCTAAATGTTTTTATCCTAAATAATAACGTGAAGAGTTGAAACTAAGTATTTAGTCAACATGCAAGAAGCTTACCAAAATAAATGTGAATCTAACGCTGAGATCTCTCCAGCATGCTTTTATTTTGGTAAGAAATTTCTAAATTTATTTGGGTGTAGTTTAAAATCACCCCAATGCATTAAAAAAACATAACTGTACATAATGATAGTTTATTTTAAATGTTTTTTACTTTATCCATATTTCTAAATAGTAACATTTGTTTGTAAATGTTTCAGGAGAATTGTGTGAACCAATAAAATATAGCAGTACATTTTTTGTTATTATTCTTTACTTTTATGATCAGGATCCATTAAAACTACTGGCAAGATTTAGTTTTCGTTTTTAAGCTTTTTTTTCCTTACTTGATAAACTCTTGTTTCTCTGATGCCTTCTCAGTGTTAGCAGCAAGCCTTATCCCACCTGAGCTGTGTGGTACCTCAAACACCAAAACTTCTCAAGGTAACCTTCACTGAGACACTGCCTCGCTGATACGATCAGAAAACAATGAAAACTGGCGATGTTTGGGGCACAGTTAAAGTTAGTAATTATTTTGTGGGTGTTATTTTAGCTAAAATACCTTTGACAGTTACTCCTCGAGAGTCCATAAATATTCATCTCATATTAATACATAACTTTTCTAGTCTTGTGACGTGTCTGATGAGCACATGCTGCCATCTAAACTATAAACTCACAAGATTCTTTAATTGCTCCACTTTTCTCTTCATGTTGTCAGTGAAGAACAACTCAGGTGTGACACCAGCTGGACAATGTGGGACTTGGGTGAAAGAATCCAACGGAGGGTATTTCACCTCCCCCAACTACCCTGAGAAATACCCACCTGAGAGGGAGTGTGTCTATATAATAGAAGGTAAAACTTGAGGTTTCTACACTCTCAGTCGTTTTTTTTTTTTATTATTCATTTTTATTCATAAACTTCTCTTTCTGCCCAGCCTCTCCTCGACAGTGCATCGACTTGTTCTTTGATGAGAGATACGCCATTGAGCCATCCTGGGAGTGTAAGTTTGACCATATTGAAATCCGCGATGGCCCCTTTGACTTCTCGCCCATCATCGGTCGCTACTGCGGTGAGGAAAGCCCTGCGTACATCCACTCCAGCGGGAGGTACCTGTACATCAACTTTGTGGCTGATAGTGAGCTGGAGGCCATTGGTTTCTCTGCGCGGTATAACTTCACGCAAGGTGAGATGGAGCTCTGCAGTTTTGTGCTTGGACACCTCTCATCCAAACCCAACAAAGCAGCATAATCACACAGTTGGTCAGGATTTATTGCAAAAGCATTGCATCCTACTGAGTTTATAATGTACCGAATAAAACTCCAGCATAGTTTAATATTTGTTGTGGTATTGGCAATTAACTTTTTAAACTTTCTTCAACACGTTTCTGCAGATATTGTCACACTGATGTCATGTAAAAAACAATTTGAGCTCTTTCTAAGTATCAATCAATCAATCAAATTTATTTATAAAGTGCTTTTCAAACAAAGTGCTACTCAAAGTGCTTTACAAAATGACCCCAGATTCCCATAACAGGTTAAAAACATTAACAGACATATGCAAGCACACGCACACGCACACACACAAGTCAAAATTATATTTGGCTGAGTCCAGATGAGCCAAGTAAGGTAAGGCAAGGCAAGGAAACGCCATCAGAGGAGCCGTCTGCCCCGGCAGCATCAGGTCTTCCACACTAAGTCAGGGTGCTCAGTGGAAGGGGAGCATGGACCCCCACCTATAGAGCGCCCAGGAAGCTACAGTCGACCACCGCTCCCGGGGCAGAGGGCCCCTACAGAGAAAACACTGGATTTAAACGAAAAGTAAGAAAGTAAGAAGTAAAAACACATTTTTCAAATTTTACTATTGCTCTCATGTGTCAGGGCTATCTTGATGGAGTGTGTTTTGTCTAAAATAGTCTGCAGAGTAAAATGTGTTGGTTTCTTGTTAAAGAAAATGCATTAGAATTTCTCTCAATAGTCTGAAAAGCATTTCATCATAAAAGCCAAACTTCTTTCAAAAATGTGGTTTGGTCTATATGTTAAAAAGAAAACCAGTATGGATTCAAAAGACACGGTTAGTGGATTAAAAATGTCACTTAAATGCTATAAAACATCAACCAGGGATTGCAGCTTTGCTGTGTTTTGGAGAGGCAAACAAAGGTCTATTAGGAATGTGAAAATGCCTATTTAGACGAACATAAGCAGCACGCACCAGCAAAATGCACGAAGACCAGCTGAGCAGTTTGATATAGGGTTGAAATGAAAAGGCATCACCTATGTTGTGCTCAGACAGAATCCTGCTTGTTTTAATTATTACAGCGTCATTTTAGTTAGACACATATTCTTTGTAGTATTTCATACATACGTACATGTATTTGGACAGAAATATGGATAATGAATGACTCTTAGCAGTGTGAGTATTTTGATGTTTATGCCTGCTTTCATGAATGGATTTATGGACCAAAGCTGACATCAGTGTCTGCAGCTTGGGATACGGTTTTGTTATTTTGCCTTTTTGTGCACCTCCCAGGTTTTGTTTTTCACTGCAAACCACAAGATCAGCATGGCCGAGTATAATGCTCACTCAGTAGTCTGCTTGATTGAATAAAATCAAGGAGGTGCCATGTGTTGCAAATGTAACAGATGCAGGTGAAATTTTTGTATAAAGAATGTACTTCCCATGAAAATACTTTAGGTGTAATTTCTACCAAATAGTGTTTTTTTTTTCAAAGATTGTTTAAGAGAAGAACTTAAAGTGACAGTGTGTATTTTTCCTGGCAGTAGGTAGCAGGAGATACCTAAATCGTTGCAAGCAAGTATTTTTGTGTTGGAGTGAGACCTTACCAATGGATGCCAATTAGGGTCAAAAAGCCCCGGAGAGTGCAAACTTTAGCAAAATAACAAGCACATCAGACTCCCTTTTGTCACGGGAAACAAGTGAAGAGGTACATGTAAAACAACAACGTTTAAGAATACTGAAAGTTTTGTAACCATTTGTTACAAATGAGCATAAGCATTTTGTCCTCATGGGCTCACATAGAACGAAACATGGCATCTAATATGGCGTCACCCAAAGACTTAGGCCCTGTCCACACGTAGCCGGGGATCTGCCAAAATGTAGATATTTTTCTACATTTTGGCCTGTCATCCACACGAAAACGGAGTTTTTTCCACACGAAAACGGATCTTTTTTAAAACTCCGGCCAAAGTGAAGATCTGCGTTTTCTCCGTTTTGGGTGTCTGCGTGTGGACAGACAAAACCGGAGTTTTAAGGTCCGCAACGTCACTTTCCACGACAAAAAATGCTGACATCACGTGTGCGACCTGTGTTTACACTAGCCGGCATCATGGAAGCCTTCAGAGCTGCGCTCTGTCACTACCCGATCCATCAATTGTCCAAGCGCTTTCTGCTTGTTTGTTTTTGCAAGCGGAATTACTGCTCCTTGCGGAAGACCACAGACGAAGGACGAGGTTAAGAACGGGGGAAGTACTGCCGCCTACAGGTCTGGCATGTCCTTAACAACGTATTTATCCGGGTACGTGTGGACAGAGTTTGTTTTTTAAAACGTGGTGGTGTGGATGCAAGTTTTTGGAGGGGCGGATATTCGTTTTCAAAAAACCCCGGCTACGTGTGGACTAGGCCTTAGGGTGTTTCTCAGTGTCAAGGCGCCTGGCCTCGCAAGGCGATGTCTTGTGAGGCCAGGCGCCTTGCTTACGAAGGGACATTGTCCTTCCTTGGTCAAAGAAAACGGCTAAATGGAACAAACTTACATCACGTGACCACGGCTTCCGCAGCAGTCATGTATCGTCACGTGACACGGGAAATAACGTTATATTTTATACGTATAAGTTTCAATATAACTATATAACGAGGCTTTTACTTTTTAAATTGTATTAAATATATTATGTTAGTGAGTTACTACCTGCTAGCCACTGAAGCTGCAACTACTGAGTAACTAACCAACTTCTTTTTATCTGAAAAAATATTTTAGATTAATTTACTTACATGTAAACTTGAAATTTCCCCCCAAAGTAGCTGCCGACTTCTGATTCACCATCCTTTTGAAAATTCTGGGACAACTTTGACCAAGACTGGGCTACAAGACACCTCCCGTATATCCCAACGCCGAAAATAATGTGGTGTATTCTGGGACAACTGACGAAGGGCGACCACTTTTTAAATAATTTAATTATTAATTAGGGTATTTATCTATTTATTTATTTATTTTATGGATTCTTTCTTTATACGTGCCATTTTTAAACAGTGTTTGTTTTTTACCATAGATTTATGATCAACATTATTTTAATATATATATAACTTTTTATATTACAATTCTCATTTTAGCTCTTATTATTTTATATTTTAACCTTAATTTAACCTTTTTCCAGTGTTTCCTCTGTGGTTGCCCTCTGCCCCGGGGGTGGTGGTCAGCTGTGGCGGCCTGGGTGCTTTTCAGGTGTGCCTGGGTGGAGGTGGGGGTCTCCGCCCTCCCTGCCCTGGGCACCCTGTGTCGGTGCCTTGGCTGCTGCTGTGGATCTGCTGCTGTCGGGGCGGATGGCTCCCCTGATGGCGTTTCCTTATCTTTATCTTAGCTGGTTTGGCTCATCTGATCTCACCTTATCGTGTTTTTTCCATGGGTGTGTGTGTGTGTGTGTGTGTGTGTGTGTGTGTGTGTGTGTGTGTGTGTGTGTGTGTGTGTGTGTGTGTGTGTGTGTGTGTGTGTGTGTGTGTGTGTGTGTGTGTGTGTGTGTGTGTGTGCTGGAGAGTATGAGTTTTGTGAATGGGTTTTTATTGTCAGACTGTTTTTAAAATTCTGGGGATGGGAGGCAATGTGGGTATGCGGGGCCTTTTAATTTGTTAAGCACTTTGAGTTGTGTGTATTGCATGATTAAGTGCTATTTGAATAAAGTTTGATTGATTGATTGATTGATTGATTGATTGATTGATTGATTGATTGATTGATTGATTGATTGATTGATTGATTGATTGATTGATTGATTGATTGATTGACCAAGCAGTGGTCACCCTTAGTCAGTTTCAGCTGCTTCGGGTGTTTGAATGTGTTGTGTATCCTTGCTCAGCTAGCTAAATGGCTAACAAACAGAGAACACACGTCTCGGTAGAACATGAACATTGGAACACGCCTTGGTGGTTCCTGATGACATATCTCCTAGGCAACCGGGGAGGGCTCAAAACATCAAGGCAAGGTGCCTTGGCATTTAGAAACACCCTTGGACCCGCTCCCATGTATTTTAGACCTGATTTTATGGTATGTTGCAAAGTCGCCAATATTTTTCAACAAATGGGCATCATTTTTGTCTTTTTCACCAATATTTTGATGGATATTTCCAGAAAATAATAGTAAAAACTGCACATTGTCTCTTTAAGCGAGTTTTGCAGGTCTGCACTAAAAAAGATTCTTGGCCCAAGTAAACACACTTTTATTTAACCCTTTGATGCATAATGGTCACTACAGTGGACAGGTACTTAAAATTGTTATTTATTTATTTTTGCTATTAAGCACAGCTGTTGAAGACTTTATTGCATTTGAACCCCTCCATTTGTACTTCAGTAAGTCAAGCCAACATATTTCATGTTCAGATTGCACACTGTCCACTGAGGTGGACATGTAATAAATTATTTGTAAATTAAATTTTACAAAAAACATGTAAATATGAAATTTGTTTCATTCACACCTAAAGATGAATGAAAAAAAATGTTTAAAAAATCATGGTTAAAGATTTCATAATCCATGCATCAAAGGGTTAAGATTTAAATATAATTTATAAAATCACAGCTGTTATTTATCCAATCAAGTGAACAAAAATACTAAGTGTAACCTAAACTAAGCATGTTTAGTAAACCCTACTCAATCGAATCCCATTTTAAGACTTTTAAAGAAGTTTCTAGGATGCAGCATCCCAGTGTGTCATTTGTGCTTCATTTAGACTGAAGAGGGGAAAAAAGGAAACTGAGCATGCACTCCAATAAATAAATAAATAAACAGATTATTGGCCCTAGGAATGATCAACTAAATTTTTAAGTAAGATTTATCTAAAATTTTTGAAAAAAGGGTTTATTAAAATAGTTAAACACCATTCAGATAAACATAAAATAAGAACAGGTTTCCTTAAAAGTGGATCTTTTATTTACTTTATGTTATAAAATTATGTATAAAATTAACAT